AAAAAAAACAGCAACAAAAAACCAACAATGGAGGAGAAAGATGAGAGCTTGCTATGACAGCACTGACTTAGCTGCTGGTTCTCCGGATGTTGTAGACCATTCCTGAAATTATCGAGGGTAATTAGGTCATCGGTCATCACATCGCGGACTATGCCTACCGTCGCTAAAACGTGCACCCCCATATGGGACAGCACCAACAACAACGTGTTAGGGGTCTTTAAAGACTCCGGAAAACTTCTTCCTATCCTGGGGAGGAAGATATTTTCTCACATTAAAATGGTAAATGAGACGCAATCCGATGGAAAGAAGCGCAGGGCTATTCATTAGCCGATGAGAGTTTTGATGGACAGTATCAGCCTTCTTTACAAAGTGGTAGCCATCGACAATCAAGAGAAGGTCACAAAGGAGACGGTCAAGTCGAACTGTTGCTCCTAAATCTCTCCCTGGTTAAAGCAAGTCATAGACATCAAGAGATACCGGAATAACGACTTGCCTGCGTAAGAAAATACTCCCGTTGGTCGAAGAGATAAAAAGTGTCAAAGAAATAAGAGCTACGCGGACATCTTAAGGGTCATAAGGATGGACAAATCGGTTAGGTCTTTAAGCGACTCGGTCAAACGTATCCGCAGGACCGCCAAAAATGAGCTGATGCTAGAGCTTAGAAAGGCTTCAGGAAGGTGGTTTTTCAGTCAGCAGTCAGCAGTGGAGAGTGTGCTTGGCGACTCATTACGTGTGGCGGCTCTGACTACTTGCAAGACGGTGGCCATCAAAGATCTAGACTAAGTCTGGAATTACATGAATTTGAGCAGCTCCTCTTCGAAATCGTGGTAGAGTCAGGGACAAGTCTCCGCTAATCCTAGCAGCCACCTTTAACCCTTGGTTCACTTTTCGCGGTAGCAGTCAGACTAACGCTAGAGTCTGGAGCGATAATATCGAGTACGCGAAGTTTGCTGCTACCATAGCGCAAACGGTAACCCCGTAACCAATGCCCCGTGGATCGCGTTAAGTAGCTAGAAGATCAGCTTACTAGTGTATTGATAAGTTCACTCGCTTGAGAGACAATAGCACCAGAGCAAGGCATGTGGCTCAACGAAACCTTAGCAGCGAAAACTGGTAACAGTTTCACGGCAACTACGCAGGATATCGCAGGGCATTGAAGATGGAGATTAAGCAGAACAAATAGCGCTCTTTCAGAAAATTATGTCAAAGTACTGAAGTTGATCCTTGGGGGAACGCCTATAAAGTGGCGATGTGCTCGACTTGAAACAGCAAAGCGCAGATCTGCTAATATTCCTAGTATTGTGGTTATTACGAAAATTAAATCTGACCCAAACGTGCTTGCAATATTGTGGAATATAATGTACGACGGTGTACTTAAAGCACAGCAGCTGTTGATAAAGTAACCAGTTGCCTTCGCGGAAACGGACTCCAAATAGCGGTCCAAAAGACAGAAACGGTGCTTCCCTATACCTGGAAAAATGGAGAGATCTTCTCGTCTTCGAGTGGTGGCTTTCAAATAGCCTCGAAGCCATTTCTGCGGTATTTGGGTGTTCGCATAGATACCAGAATTACATTTAGAGTCTATCTATCGCGACTCATGTCGACTACTTTATAGGTACGTTTGTATCTATCACGCAATGTCTGGTTACAAAGAATATTATATCCCTAATTTGGATCTCAGCACAAGTACACTGGTTAAAGTTATAAACCTTAAAAATATGTAAGTGAGATAGGGCTCAAACGCTTGGTTATTCTAATTTCTTGTATATCAATTACAATTATACTCAACTGCTTTTCATTCACAAAGGTACAAAGACCACACTTCATAAATGCATGTACTTCGTAACTAACTGACGACATGAAATAATTCTTCTCAAATGTCATATGAAAGAGCACCTCAAGTATTGCTTAAATTAAAGGGTGTAATACGTGAGTACTAATGCAATAGTAAGCAGTTATTAAAGTTAACTAAATTAGTTTAACCGAAAATGCGTTTCTATTCTGAATTGCCTATCAAGTCCGACTTCACTACTGAACACCTATGCAATCGAATTATGAAAGGTAATTGTTGCGAAATTCAATTAAAATTATTATTCGTCTTAATTTATGCTACACAAGCTGCAACATTTGAGTATTTATTCTGTAAACACATACTATAACATGTGGCAATGTATGTGTGGTGTTTGTATGGTTTCAAATGTATCATAGCTGGCTTATTAGCTTACGACTTTTCAGGTAAATAGCTTGTAAATGTAGATAGATTCTCGACACATACGCTTTCACATATGAAGCATTTAATCCCTCTAACGAAGCAATTCATAGCTTTCATATAAGCGCGTAACGGATTTGTGTGATTGTTAATGAATTCGTGTTACTGTATTACCGTTTCAAACATACAGGGTGAGTAAAATTTGTTATTGAAATGCGGAATACAATACAATTAATGGTGAGATGCGGTTGAAAAGAGTTGCCCCAATATGTCATGAATAGACTTTCATTTCTTTAGCAATTCCAATTAGATAAGTGTTTGATAAGGTTAGTTAATATATTCTGATATTCGAATTACTGGCTAGCGAATAGTTTTACTATTTTATAATTGTTATGAGGTCTGCTGCCACTTATTAGAAAAAGGAAAAACAAACACAAATTTGATTTCTTGATCGATTGCTAACCATTTCTTCCGCAGTCCGCACCTCGTTTGGACTGCTTAAATGATCAGCATTTTGGGTACTTGTACAATCATAATAAAACACGGAAAATCTTTTAAGCTGCGCTTAATCAAATCTTCCATTCTTCATATTTGCAAATTTACTTTAATTTAAACAGCCCTCAAATCGATAGAAGTACCTATAGCATCAGTTATTATTAACTTATTCAACAGCATTGGTACATAGGTCAAAAAAAAATATATATAAAAATTTTAAGAATCGATATGTAACAGGAGTACAATTGTATAAAATTGACTGCAGATCGTGTTATCTATAAGATGACAGTGGATAAAGAACTTACGAATAGTTAACATATAAGCTCTGTCAAAAGGATAAAATTTGTACGTCTCAATGCAAGTTGGCATTTATTAAAATCTCATCCACCCCAATCCATCTTGCACCTAAACAATCTCCATCCCTCTTACATCATCATCATAACACATATATATATGTATATAAATATGTATTCATAATTTCTTTTATGCTGTCTGCTCGATAGGTCTTAACGGGATACCACAAAAACAACAAGTGACGAATTCCCTGCCTTCGAGTGCATTCGTAAAATGCTAAATGTCTTGGACGATAGCGGCAGCTTTCGATTGTGCACGTTGAATTTGAAGTGTACTCTATGCAATGCTTTCGAATAAATTGCTAAAGATCGAGTTACACCCTCTGCAATCTGCTGCAAGACCACGCCTACTGTGGTTAACGTTGATTGTGCATCAAGCGCCATAAAGTTAAGCAACGTAGTACGAGCTAATTCTGCTTTAAAAGCTTCGAATGCTGTTATATTCTATGACTTCCAGATGATTTCACCGTTTTTATGATTGAACAAATGTGACTGTCTACACAGTATTCCGTAAAAACGGATGGTAAAAGTTAATCAAGCTTCTACACCTTTAATGCTAAGTGGAAAATTTAATATCGGTGCTTTAAACCGGTTGGTTTAAAAATATGCCAGCTAATGGAGTGGCCAAGAAACTCGATCTCGCTGGCCCAAATTCGCAATTGGCAAAGTTTGTAGAAAGACAAGCTTGCCAAAGTCGCTCAAAAACAATTTGACTGTCTTATTAATTAAATGATACAACTGGTTTACCCTGCTTGGAAACGTTTTTCGTTAGCAATTCAGACAGATCTACTCCAATGTCACCGGAAAACAAAGTCGATGTTATCGGATCTGGCATAGTGTTAAGTTATTACCACATAACACTTTTATCGGTTTGTCGGCGGTTGAGGCGTGCAGTTTTTTCGCTGTACGTTTGCTTCATAAACAAATGCCTGGCGGTACGTGTGAGCCCACGCCCCAAATTTTGTATAAGACCATCAATTTGTTCAAATCGAGAGCAAGACTTGGCTGTCTCGAAAGTGCCAAAGACAATTGCGTAAGTTGGTGGATTCCAACTAATTCCAACTGGTGGATTTTTACTAATAGTCGCTGTTTCTTGTTGTTTTCGCTCTCACTCTACTGCTCGCTGATTTGATACTTTAGTTTGTCACATTTACCTGTTGCCTCAGTCACATCGGCTACTGTTGAGCGAGTGCCAGGAGGTCTTCGTCGATGCGGGTTTTTTTGGCTGTTTCGTAAAGAACGGTGTCAGGAAAGTACTTGCCGTCGGTCCTGTAGTTGTAGTTTGTGCAATGACATAGGAGCTTGCTTTTGAAGAAACAGACTTTTTCCATCTCGCCGGCGGTGATTCTGAACCAAATAGGGAAGGCATACGATAATACTGCAAACAGATTGAAGACAGAGCTTGTAAACCAAACCTTCAAACTAAACGGTGTCAAATACTTTTTCGATACCAAGACTTACTATCACGGAACGCTGCTTGTTAAAAAAGCCAATGCAAGATGATGATGAAGAGCATGCATTGTGAAAGTTTTGCCTCGCAAACCAAACTGGCAAGGTGCGATAATTTTGTTGTTCAAAGAGGTCTTCAGCTTCTTGGTTATGAACATTTCATAGAGCTTACTGAGCGAATTCAAAGAGATGGAGCGATAGCTAAGGGGTTCAGCCTAGGACTTGCCACTCTTGGCAATGAAGCAGACTATGACCTCTTTGCATGGTTGAGAAAGCAACCGGGGTTATACAGGTGATTGAAAAGCATGATGTACTTTTTATTACATTATTAAAGCTTTTAGCAAGCTCTTTTTCCAGTAAGAAATTTTTATTGTACTTCCGCCGCGAGGAATGTTATGACATCACAATGACACAACTTTTTAATAAAGAAAAGTAACAAATATAATATTTGCATATATGTCGGTTTCTACACTTATATAAAAAAAATGTCCTAATTGTGCTGTTTTAAGTACAACTTAAATTTTTATTTTCCAAACTTTTCATAAATTTGTGTCACAAAGTTATCCTTAACAAACTTGATAAATTTGATGGTAACATTATTGATTTAGCAATTCTTCATAATTCACTCCCCGTTCACTATCCTAATCATCTTCATCACTGCAATACAAGTCAGCATACAGGAATGCGTTGATCACTATCGATATAAGAATCGTTTTTAACTTCAACCGATCATTAAGTGTCAGCTTAATGTAATTTTCACAACGATATTTGGGTTCGGCATGATTGACATACGCAGCTACTATGAGACCAATGAATGCCGAACGCTCTCCAGCTGAATCCATGCTTAATTTATGTTAATATCAGCACTACAAAAGTAAAGATTGTTTCAATTTTTGCATATAAAAGACACAATATTTGTAAGAACTTACCGATTGATGAAACGTTTTTATAAAAAAAGAGGTTCCAAAATAAGAAATCAATTCTTAAAGCTTGATTTTTTTGTTTTAAAAACTTAAAATACTTTTGACATTAAAAATATTTTAGTTTCAACAAATTTTTATAAGCCTACTTTTTTAATCAAAACGAAAATAAAGCATTAAATATTGTATAGTGGAAATATCATTCTAGGGTTTGTCCATAAAAATCAAGGATTTAGAAATTAGTTTTTTTAAACCAATAATTTTTCATTTCAAATTGAGATTATGAACAATTAAAAACAGAGGCAACCTATGGTTCTGAGTCAATTAATACGTAAGTCCAACGCTACACTATTGTGAACCTACCACTTCTTTAACCATTTGGAAGGACTTTCTTCAGCATGTCAATACTTTCCCATTTATAAACGCTGACCTTGGCATGCAAATTTTTTTATCCACAGGTTTCGTAGGTGGGTATGCATCTGGTGACTGTAGAACTTAATCTCAAATAAATCATCTCATATAGAACATAGACATAGGTATGTGTTTGGTAAGTTAATTAATGCCGCGAAGCGTAGCAGTAACCAGCACTTGCAAGTTTTATCAAATTGAGTGATTCTTCAGTGTTTCAGAGAACCTTTCAAAACTTTTTTAATATTGTTTATTAATGAATTTTCAAACTACGTAATTTTTCTTACCACAAATCTCGGCAACTGGTCCTCTTTACGCAACAGCTTCTTCTTTACGGAGCTCCACTTTGCGCTCGTTCCTAAGTATTCCCTGCGTAATTACTTTTATTTGTAGTCACTAGAGCAATCATTTGTCTCTCCACTGCAGTGTAGTTTTTGTTAGCTTTGGTAGTTTTATAACACTACCAAAAAAGACATCTGAAAACATCCTATGTAATTTCTCACATCTTAAGAAGTAGAGACATTCCATTATTGAAGTTCACGAACTAATGAATTTGCCGAAAATCAGAAAATTAGAAATAAGTTCTTAAGAACTAGACTTAAGACTAGACAATACATATCAAAAGCTACACGTATATAGCAGAACAAGATTTGCCGCCTCCAAAAGGAACCATACAACTGCCAAGAGTTTGGTAACAGGAATATGTATTTGTATTGAGGTTCGAAAAGAAGTTCTGTTTTTCATATGTAATCGACGTCAGAAGCGACCACTTTCTGCAAAAAAAAAAAAAATTTTCTGATATATAATATATGTACTCTATACTTATATAGGATAAATAAGAAATATATTTGTATGTTTCTTTCACAAAAAATATCTGTTTTATGTTAAAGATTTTATTGTAAATGAGGTTTTCTTCAAAAATATTTGAAAGTTTTTCAAATAATCTACTTTGACCCAGTATAACTTTCGAACCTATTGAAAAGGAGTTACTTTTAATATGACGGTATGACGGTAGCGGCTATTTTACTTAATAGAAAGTATTAATTATTAATTATAGCAACAAAATTTGAGTTTATTTTTAAATATGTTAAGTGTTCTTCAAAAAAATAAATTCATAAATGCCGAGGTGCACATATGCACCCTGTATTAACACAGTATTTACACACACATGCCTATTGTCATATATTTGCATGCATTCTGCATATACCGTAGTATGCAGGTTAATTTTATTTATATGTGAACTCAGAAATCTGAGGTTTATATGTATCTTTACCAATAGCGACAGTAATCACATTGGCATCGACATAAAGTTTCCTTCTGTTAATTCACAAATTATTAATGTTTTAATTTGTGTTTAATTATTAGATTACCACTTATTCATTACTAATTTACTATTGCAGGATATTGGAAATTACTCTTTTCTGTCACTTATTTCAATTATGTTTACTTTACTCTATGGCCAGCATTTTTATTTGCTATTAGCATTTTGGGTACGTACATTGCTTCGCAAGAAATTAATGTTTTTGAACCCTTCCTTTCTTGATACAATCACAAATTTTCCTGATTAATTATTTGATTTGTAAGCATATTTTACTGGACCTTTACTGGGCCTTTACTGGACCTTAATGGTAATTTTATAGCACTGAACTAGTTTTGGAAGTTACTTTACAATATTTTTCAGGCAAACATCTGTAGCGGTTATATATCGTAACATCTATATGTACATAAAAATCTTTTTTTAATTACATTGACAAAATTACCAATAAGATACAGTACCTTCACATGAGATTGATTGATTATAGCAAGTGGTATAATGCAAAGTAATATTCACAATATATTACAGACTATAACAGTGCAAATTCCCTACTCAGCTCATCCAGTATTTGCACTGACCAGTAGTATTCATCTCTTTCAATCACTTTAGATAAATCCACACCTTCGTTTTACGCAATTGTTATCTCAGTAAGGTGTATCGGTCGCCATTTCAACGCCTTTTTGACTTTTCCTCTCTTTTTAGAGTAATAATTCTACAGGAACATGAAGTTCAGGCTTTCTGTACAGATGTTTTCATCTCATATAAGATTTCACTTTTTTGCCTGACCTGTGTAGAATCTTTCTATTATTAGCCCATTTGACCGACCACCAGTTCTTGAAAAAGTTAGTTGCTAGTCTTTGGTTTTGACAAGAACATGTCAGGATGTTTCAGTTCCTAAAAAAAATTAATTAAATACGTAAAGTTAAAAAGTCAACAAAAAATTTACTTGTAATTCTTTTTTTTGGCGAGAGGTTTGGAAGCGGTTTTTCTCTATCCCGTTTAACCTCTCCTGGTATGGCTTATATCCGTAGCGTTTCTGAGCGGTAGCTGCGAAATTGCTTACTAAAATATATTTAAAAATATAAATAAATTTAATGAATCTATAGAAGGTTATAAGAAAATATTTTCAATCTAATCAATTGATTCGACTTTAAGATATATAATGTAAAATGAAAAATAATCTGCAATGAATGAACACTCATTCATGGACATATGCCTAAAACAAGTACTTATTATTGCCATACTTAAAATATGAAAAAAAAATTTCAGATACTTTTGACTACATAACTAAATTCTATACTTAAGACAAAACAAGAAGGAAGACATTAGAAATAAACCAAAAAACTTAATAAAAAAATCAAGATACACAGAGTAAGATCATATGCAGATACAAATGATCTTATTGTTTTTGTGTCCCAGCGTAGAGTACCATTAGATCTGTTGCGTTAGGCAGCAAGCAGAAATAAATCTGTCTACCATATAAGAAGGATTATAATAGCTCTAGAAAAGTAGAATATAATGAGACAGAGAACGAAGTAAAGAGACATGCATTAGATTAGAGAAATTAGATTCAAATCACTATTGATCGAACAGCATTTTTGGTGAGTTGAAATTTCAGCCAAATAAATAAAAGTATGATAATAACAGTGTCACTATTTAGATACACTTCAGAATTAAACTGATTAGTTTGTAAAGTTATTATATACACTGCAACTGCACTTAGATCCAAGTTGGTCCAAAACACTTCTTGTGACACTGACATTTTTTTCTGAGAGCTAATAGCCAACGAAACTAACAGTCGAATCTCAAAGAAGATATTTCATCACTGTGTAAAGTTAAAAGCATCAAAAATAAGTGAAAGATATAATTTTACATGAGTATGGAATACTCTTTGAGAAAATGCGCCTCGCAAATATTTCCATTATATCTCTTCTTGTTAAACTATTCATTACTAATGACCCTGAATCAATCGACCGTATTGATCATATAAGAAACGTAAAGCAATATCATTTACTAAGCGCATGTATTCATTTTATTTAGTTTAGAACCTTTGTTTACAATATTAGCCGGTTTATTAACAAAATTAACGATATTATATATATCGTATATATATCGTATATTAATAAAAATTATAAATGAGAATGTTTATTACTTACCAGCGCCTCTTTCTTCATCGGAGGTTGGCATCGCGTTATTTGGTACAGGTGGACATTCTCGTCTACCTGTAGTCATTTTTGCCACACTTTTTCCTTTCTCAGATTTATTAACTAAATAAATAATAATTTTTTGAATAGTGAAAAAAATTGATGAGACACTAGTTACTAACCCTGGTTTTGTGTCTGTGGTATTACACGCGCTGTAAGGTCTTCTGTGGGAAAAAATTAATTCTTACTTAAAATTAGAATTAGAATAAATAACACTTACTTCTGTTTGTGTCTTTAGTGATATCACTAACAACTTCAGTTATCTTGGCGGCGTGTGTTGTTGTTTTTTTTTGTTGGTTATCTAAATCTAGAAAATCGAAAATACTTTAAATTGTTCTGAATCAGGGCTGTAATAATAAATTCTTACTCTTGGTTACTTGGAATAATCGCTTCATGTTTTTGTGGATTTTATAAAGAAATATGAAATGTTATATATACATAAAATTTTGAAGATGGGATCCGAAACTTTTTTGAAGGTGCCTATTTTTTTGTAACGATGTTTAGAAAATAAAAATAATATATGAAAAAAAAAATATGAAAGCTTTGGTATATCAGTTTTATTTAAATTTTATCGCCTACTTAAATTAAAAATTTTCATACTCAAACTATAAATTGAAACATTACTGTGTGAAAATATTTCTTATGCTATATTATTTTGATGTATATTAAGTTTTTTTAAATACACTTCATGAAACAAAAGAAAAATCTGAGAGCATATGAACCATGCATTTTGATAAGGAACATAGGACAAAAGAATTTCCTGTTATTAATCCAGTTAGATAAGGCTTGCACTACTATGATGAGGCTATCCCTACTATTCTACTATGATCGATGTATATGATTTGAAATTTACGTCAAAAAGAAAAAAAAATATGAAAAAATATCCATAAAGGAAATGTGGAAATCGTGATAAGGTAGGTGAACATACACACATACACTACGCTGACTAAAACAAAAGATAATAAGCTAAGCAAAAAGCTAGCAAAGACTACGTCCGTAATTTATGTCGTTCCAACAAACAATAAAAAATCTCCTCGGCTAGCTTTTATTGGAACCAGTCTATCTCCAAAAGTATCGTTACCTATGTCGTTTCAACGAACAAGAGAAAGCCTCCTTGCTTAGCTTTCTCTATGAACAGTGTATCTCCAAAGATACCGTAACCCACGGAACGATTTCCAACGAAGAAAGGAAAACCCACTTGGTTAGCTTTCCTTGCGACCAGTGCATTCAACCGCTTCTGAAATGAATTGAGAAATCTTCTTTAAATTTTATATACAAAATACTTGGTTCACTTAATAACGTTAACTTCAGTAACCGAAAAATATACTATATGTTATTCTTTTTGTTAATTTTAAAAAATTTGATGTTGCTTCTTCGGAGGCTGAAGCAGGAGAGACCGAACACACTTTTGCGAAGTTGGGAGCTACGGAAGCCAAACGGGACTTTTCCTGACAAACAAGTGGATGTTCCGTTTGGTAGCAACCATGCGTTCGAACAATATCGCATGATTGCTCCGTTAATGAAACTAAGCACAGGGCCGGATTTTGGGGTACGCGGAAGTTAACTTATATATACCTTAAATATCCTTTAAGCATTTGTTAACTTAACGATGGATGTACAATATTGTAAGAATGTATGATAGTTGTAGGTTCTAGTCTTTTAATAATAACTGTATGATAATATAATTTAAGTTCAGTTTCTTTGTAACTCATAGAATATGCTATACTCTAGATACTGATTAAAATCAGCAAGTTTCTAATCCTGAAGTCTATGCATTGAAGTTCAAGTTGTGCTTCATATGAGCATGATCCCAAATGCTTGGACCTAGTTTTATCCACGGCATCATACCAATTTACTGAAGTGGTGATGTTTTTTTCCAACATTTGTCAAATTACGTTAGTTGCTATATAAACAGACTTTTTGTGCTGGCAATCGTGTTAACATGGCAATCTTGCATTATCAATTTTTGCAAAACATTTTCTATTTTCTATTATAACAACTAATTTTGGGCGACCTTTACACGTAAACTATAATGCTACACAATAGACAGATGTTTATCAGTGTATTCTAGTCTTGATTTTGACGGGTAAGATAGAAATTTTTTTGCTTAGCATGGTTTTGTAGCCATTGAAACTAACACAAATCGAACCAGAACACATTTTGGAATATGAACCTTGTTAGTTACAAGGTACGGATCAAATATATAGTATTTTTAATTTGGAGTCTCAGTTAACATCTAACAATACTTATGGCTATCATGGTTCACAATATAAATTGTAAAACTATATATTAAGAGTCATGAGTCCTCGCATGATCAGATTTCGGCACAATGATCTGCCGACTGAGTGTTTTGGTCTCGTACAGCCATTTGATATAACATAAACGCGAAGAGTAGTGTTTGTTCCAGAAATTTGTTTAAATCAAGTTATATAGATGATTTTTTTTATGGATATACGTATTGCTGTAATTCATCTCATCTTATTGATATACCACACCACAACTGATTAATTTTTCCATCAAACACTTGATTAGTTAAGCACTTAAGCTGCCTTCTCAACATGTGTAACGTCATTATTTTCGTTGAAATCCTTTTTGTTGAATTATGAATGGATTACATTTTTATTTGGCTAATTATTATTTTATGATTATCAAATTACTTTAATTACAATATTTTTGTTTATTATTTTTTCATTAATAGTTAGTGAATGTTTTTTCACCATATGTGGTGTGATGGTTTATTTGTAAATGAAATAATAGAATAATTTATACAAAACAACCCGTATAACTTACGGGTTGTTTTGCAAAGCTTATAATGCTCGTTAATCTATTAACAACAATAGCATCACTGATTTCCCATAAGCCCATATAATGTCACATGCAGAAATCTTTAAAATTTATCAGATCGTTTGACAGTTGGGACAGTACAAGCAGAATATAGACTGCATTTTTTTGGAAATAATAGTATAATTTATTTTGGTCTTCAATATAAATTTATTTACTTCATGGACTTATAAGTTAAGAAATGTAATAAATTTAATGTCGATATTTACATGTAAAGAAATTTAAAGATAAAAACTGAAATATTAAACATTTTTAAGAAACAAAATACTGGCCGGATGTACTAAAATACATTAACCGATAAGTACGATTTGATTATAAAAATTTTATTATATTTTATTGTATTCTGGTGGGGTTCTTCCGATTTCACAAAATTAATTGTTTTGCTTGGGTTGAAGTTTTGTTATGCATATTTAAATCAGATACAGACAGCAAGTGAAGTTGAAAAAATAAAAACACACAAAAAAGTGTTGGAAAACGACAAACGAAATTAATACTATTATTATTATTATTATTACTATTAGGTCTGTTCCACGAGCTACTCATAGTAAAACATGAGTAAAACAAAAGTAAAATTTACACAAAAATAGTTGAAAATTTGCTGGTGGAACGCGCTTGTGTATACACAGTGTTTACTCAAAGTTACTATGAGTAGCTCGTGGAACAGACCTATTATTATGACATATTTGTATTTTAACAAAATTACAAATTTAGTCTATTTACAAAGAACATTTTATGTACATCGAATTTATATTACATATAGAATTTACAAATGATTTCTAGTTTTTGTGCTGACGATCTATTTCTCTAAGCTCGTTAAAAGATTTCATTGTTTCGCTTGTGACAGTTCTGCGCCAAGTATTTTTCGGCCTACCTCTTCCTCGTCAGCTTTGTGGGTTCCACTCTAACGTTGTGTATGGTATTTCGTTTGAACTCTTTCTGAGCGTATGGCCGATCAATCCATATTTGCGCTTGTTGATTTCCTTTTTGATTCTTTCTCGATGACAGAAACCATTTCGTTGTGAATAGTTCGCGTCCACCAGATTTTTAAAATATGTCTTAGGCTTCTATTGATCAAGGATTGCAGTTTGTGTATGTGTACGAAGTGTGCCAAGTCTCACAACCGCATAGCAAGGTTAATTTAATACATGCATTAAATATTTTTATTTGGATTGTCGCGTAATGATTGTAGACTTCCAGATCGATTTGAATCTGCCGAACGCGGATGCTGCCTTGCGTATTCTACAATCAACGTCTACTGATGTTCTGCCATCTTCAAAGATTTGACTGCCGAGGTATTCAAACCTGGCTACATCTGCAATTTATTCAAATTTAAACAATTTTTATTAATTTATTATTAATTTATTATTAATTTATTTAACCGTGCTTTTGTCTTTTCGCAGTTTATTACTAAGCCAATCTTCCTGGTTTCGTTTTCTAACAAAGTAAGTTTGTATATCGACAAACGAAATACATAAATTAAAAGTTCATGTAATAATATAAATAATAATGTGGTGAGAATCAACAAAGTAGGCTAAAATTGTCAGATTCTCTGATATTTAAAAATATTTTATTTAAAAATATTTATTCAGATTTTTTCAGTCAGTTGATCAGTCAGTCAATTAGTTAGTGTTTCTAAAGTTGTATTAAAAATAATAAAAGTTTGTGTTACAATAAATACTGTTTTTTATTAATAAAAGCTATTTGGTTATTGTAATCACAACATTGGTGACCCCGACACAAAAAGGAGTTGTAAGTTATTATCAAGCCCAACATTAGCAAGCAAGATGACTAACCGTGAGGAAGAAGATTTTTTTCCGGCAGAAGGAGAAAGTCGCACTGACAAGGAGGTATACCGGGTTTCAGTTAAGCCGATGATGTTTTCAAGAGAGCATCCGGACCTTTTTTTTCTGCAAATGGAAGCACAGTTCAGGAATGCGGGAATAACGAAAGATGATACAATGTTCGACCATGTAGTAGCAAGTTTAGAGCCGAAATACCTGGAGTGCATAGTTGATGTGATTCGAGATCCACCGAAGGTATTGAAATATGAGACGTTGAAGAAACGGTTAATTTATGAATTCACAGAATCGGAGCACAAAAGGCTGCGTAAGTTGCTGACAGAATTGGAGCTAGGTGACATGAAACCAACTCAATTGCTGAAGAAAATGAAGGAGATGGCC